TTTATTAGTAGAATTAGTTAATTAAGAGTTTATTAAAATTACATTTTTATTTCAATTACCTATTAGTGACAAATATGCAATTTGAACTATATTATTGTGATTAAGTATTGATTTTTTAAATCTTCGTTCGTAACCTCTAATATTACTCCTTATGGGATCGATATCCAAGACTCCATTAGAGCCCTGCATTACTTGAGCGATACGTATACTTGTGTTGATAAGTGTGACTTTGCAATTATTGAATATTTTATACACTTCTTTATCAAATCTGTAGTCGTAGTCAAGTTTTAGCGTCGTTGCCGGGGATTTAAATCTTCTAGAAGCGATATCAAATTCTTGTATTTTTAAGCATATATAAAGTCACTGTCAACCACCGCCTATTTATGAAATCCCTAAGCATACTCCTTTAAGTGTCTCAATAGTTGAGATAGTGGAGGCCTTCTATATTAAAGACTATTTCAAGAAGGTGACACCGATGAAAGAAGCGTACATCCGAGACCCAAAGAAATATCATGCATACAATCCTGACCACAGACATGACACAAAAAAGTTTTAGCACCTTTGAAGCCTGATCAAAGATTTGATCAAAATTAGAAAGCTAAAGAAGTTTGGAGTGCACAAAGTAATATCCAACAACTAGGAAAAGCTTTTGATGAAGAAATTACATGCTATCCCATTTGAGACCTCATGATAGGCATAACCAACATAAATCATGTGATCTTTGGAGGGGATGAAGGAGAGTCATTCTAATGAACTAACTTGATGAGGTGTCTGGCGAGTAAATTATTTGTAGCTACCTGATCCACCTTAAAATTACCGATTTTTATGCACATTTTATGCTCAATTTTTTAGGATATTATGTTTTAATGAAAGGTATTTTTATGTTTTTGTATTTTAGGTATTTTTATGTTTTTGGTTGCAGGTGCAAGAAAAAGAGTTTAAGAGTAAAAAGGAAAACAAATACATAAAAAGGAACAAAAATGGATTAAACTAAAGAAAATTGTAAACTAGTCAAGCTGGCCCTTATGAGTCAGATGTAGAACTTGGCTGGTGCTTAGGCGTGACGGTTTGTTGCCTAAGCGCCATGGTTATTTTCTAGAAGATTCATTAAATGATGTCAAATTTTGAAGAGATGTCTGAAGTAACCCTTGATCATTTTTGAAGCTCTATAAACAGGGATTAATTCCAAGAGGGTAGGGGGTTCAGATATATCATGTCCCATAGTGTGTGAGTGTACTAAGTGTGTGAGAAGTTTTCTTTGTGAGTCTTTGTTATTCTTGAGTTTATGAGTCCTGTATGTATTATTGGAGTCAGAGAAGTCAGAGAACTTCAAAGGAGTGCTTAGGGAATCATTCAAGATAAGTATTTGTATATTTGTCTTTAAGTCTTGTACTTTGAATTTGAGTTTTATAAATATAGTTTTTTTTGTTATCCCCATGGGTTTTGAATAGTTTTCTCTCTTTCTCCTTGCAATATGAAGTAATCAAGTAAGTGATTTTGATTTTGTTGAAAACTTTTTTTATTCCTAAAAATTGTGATAATATTTTTA